AGACTTCCTTGGGGGCATTCCTTGAACCTGGTCCCTATTTAATTTTCCCTTATGTTGTACATACACTTAGATGAAAATGGACTTTCTCTAAGTTTTCTGTTCTCCCCAAAAGCCTTATTTAAAAACCTTTCCCAACATTGTAACTTTACTTAGCTATGGCTGGTGTAAGTGACTGGTATTCAGGCTCCTCTGAATGTTTGCAGACCACTTCCTGAGCTGGGGTTAGAAATAGGAAAACTAGCCAGGGGTCACATTGTCATGTTAATATTCATGAAACCATTCATTCCTTGTTACCCTGTTTTTACTTTAATCAATATAAGTGGGAAAACTTCAAGCTATGTTAGGACTAACTAAAGCCTTTTAAGGCATTTGGCCTGGGCAGCTGAATGTATAATACATCAGTCACCAACCAGCTTTGTTTTTTTTTCTCAGAGAATGCCCCTAGGCTAGTTGGACATTTTGCAACAGGTGATCAGTTCATCTTTGGCTTATCTGTGGAGCTTTATTGCATCAGAGGCATGATGTGTCTTTTAGGTGTCAAACTGTATTCATCCTTAGCACCAAGGTAATAGCTTAAGAGTCTTCAATTGAGTGTGGGTGCCCCCATCCGTAAGTTGTTACTGGTAGAATAGACTTTTCCAGGGTTAGGACACCACTTGTTCTCAAGATTCTCCTACTTGAACTTCCTAAGTACTCTGAAGTCTTGAATCTTAAGGTTTTACCCAGCCCTAAATTGTAGGACCTCTAGAAATGAAAGTGAATTGGGAGGGCTTAGTTTTGTACTCAAGACTACTACTTTCTCAAGTTTGAAATTCTCCACAGAAAATAAGCTTCAAAGCTCCTTCCTGGGCCTCTTCCCCCTCAATCTCCAAGATGGAAGTTTTTAGAAACAGCCCATTAATACAGTCTGACATTTGGGCTCCAGAGCCAGCAACATCTCAGGGGTAAGCAAGTGTGTCATGCTTGAGGTAGCTGGCAAAAGCCAGGGTACCTACCTTAGCAGGGGTGTCTGGAGCTCTCCTCGGTTAATTGAGGGGCAGTATTTTGGTCCTCCTGGGCCCCTCCTGCTAGCACCACTGCTGTCTTGAAAGTGTGAGACTATCAGCAGAGTGTTGCACAAAGTCAAAAGGACCTGGCTTTGTGTCAGAAGGCACCCAGGGCTTCTAGTCACCCCCTGCAGAGTGACAGAAGGAACAGGAGAACCAGGGCATTTCTGGACCTGCCAGTGAAGTTGAGCTTTTTGGAAGGATGGCTCCAGGTCATTGTAGTTCAGTTCTTCTCTGGAGGAAACAAAGCTAGGGCATAAGAGAGAGGGCTAAGGCCATTCTGGCATGTTGTAATGAGTTAGAGGCAGGTACTATTTCCATGAGGGGAGGTTCAAAAGAAAGCCTATAGAAAGGACATTTCCTTTTAAAATTTTAGGTTTATATTGGGGGAGGAGTAAAACTACTTCATGGGTTTGTTTTGTCTTGTTTTTGTTTTTTTCCTCTGCCATGTTGGTCCCTGCTCATCCTA